AACAGCTGGAGACTATTAAAAGCACTCATTAGAAGGAAGAAGCAGCAAACTGTTCTAATTGGGTCAGCTGACAGGTGGCTGCGCTTCGGCGCTGCCTTCCCAGCAGCCGCAGTGATTGATGCTACTGTGTGATCCTCTGGCCAGGGGTACAGCTGCAAGGCTGCCCTGCAGCTCAGGACACGCTGCAAGGCCTCGAATGATCACTTCAAGTCATCTCAGCACCGATATATGGCACGGGGAGCAAAATGACTACTGTATGTTTGGGAAGGAAGGGAAACCAGAGGGTGTGTAAAATAGTCAACTAAACATAAGTACCATTTTCAGTTACTGGGTTCATAAAAAAAAAAAAAAGAACTCCCTAATATCTGGTATGCACTGATATGTACTCCCATGGACATAAGCAAATCATTTTAACCTCTGCATGCCTCAGTTTTCAAATCCAAATGATACTAAGTTCATCAGACCCTCAAAAAAGTCTGTGGTTCAGTCAAAATCTAGGCATTTGTGAGATCCTTGGCAGAAAAATCCCATATAGAAATGTGCCCGCCCCCAAGCTGCAGGCAGGCAGAAACATGGAGGAGACTGGCAGCAGGGAGGGACAGCCACACGCTTAGCACCATGACCTCTTCTACTGGCCATGTCTCTGGCAAACTGAAGGACTTCAAGAAACCTAGCTAAAGTTATGAAGGAGAAAATTTGATGTCTTACTAATACTGAAAACTCAACAGTCAGCCATAGTTAAATATTTTTTGTTATTCAGATACACATGGGAATTAAACAGCAAGCTGCAACCAGAAAACCAATATAATTTGGTAAAACAGCATTTTCCTCTCTAGATAGAAATTTGGGGATATAAGTAACAAATTTCCTGAACTTATTTAGTGAATATTTTCATATTAATGAAAAGCATTGTAGTTATAAAAGCAAATTCCTGTAATTAAGGAATACAAAAAATGTTCTATGGAGTTTAACTGTTCAGCATTTTTTAGAATTTTGTTTATAAGTTATGAAATAACCAAAAAAACAACAGGCCGCTTAAAAATTTTAGTAAGAAAAGCCAATCTTTGTCAGAGGAGATGTCTATGTTATTACAATAAATCTGATTTGAAAGTTTCCTAACATCCTTTGAATTTTAATTTGTTCCTTTGGAGTGATCCTAATGCACTTTTTACAAGTTTAACTTAGAAAACAAAAAGACAGATGTTCCTTTACAAAATTGTCTTTAATGTAACCAAAGCTGAATATGATCAAATATTATTTTTTTAAATGAGAAATTCCTATTTATTTTCCTGAGATATTGAAATACTATGCTGAGCCTGGGAGAGATATGCTGCAAACTTAACCACTAATTATAATGAAAATCTGAAACATCCTATATGTGGATGACAAGTTCTTAATTTATTAAGCGCTCTCTCTCTTTCTTTACACAAAATCTCCCCTGGCAAATTAGCTGAAAGATATTTAGGTCTTGAGTTAGAAGCCATGCTACTAACAATCCTGGAATTAAAAGAGATCAGAAGCACACAGAGCCAGGTCGTCTGCAATTCAACAGGGCACAGCTCACAATGCTTCACACCTTTATTCAGGCTTGGCAGTCCTACATCAAAGTTTTAGAATGCATTAAAGGAAGATGAAAAAGCCATGCATATCTTTTGCTTTCGATGTTTCACACTGCAGTTGTAGTAAGTGCCAGATAATCATTAATAGGCCTTTTGGAAGGGACAATTTTAATACAAAGCTTTCAAACATTTATGGTAGTCACACTGTCAGGAGTGCTTCTTACCTTCTGCACTTTCAGGCCTAAGCTATATCAACTGGTGCATAGTCTTCTCTTGCTGGGTACAAGCAGTAATTATAGCTGTACTGACAAGGGATTACTTGCTTTATTAAAGTGTATTTATTCTAGTTTAATCTGAAACACATCCACTACAATGAATTTGAATTCATTATCATGAATTTATCCCATCTTACAGGAACATAGGGCAACTCTCCCATGAACATGCTTGAGAGTTTACCTGAGGTCCTTGCTACGATTTCAGACCAGCACCCTCTCCGCAGTATTCCACACTAAAGCATTGTCACTGTTTATTTTGGGATAGCTTGGAAGTGATCTGTTTAGGTGACTGACAGTAACTCACTCCAGCTGAGAAAGTGCCAGGTCAGGGCAAGGAGCCGGCTAATCTGGATGGGAAGTCTCACATTGCAGCAGCTGCCTCCACCGTATCTGGCTTGTGAATAAAGGACTTGTTTTCTATCTTGGCTTTGAATTAAATTTTGGTAAACACAGACATTTGCCGAAACATTTAAAACAATTTATCTGACTCCTGAATGAATAGTTGTTTTCTCTGGAGTGGAGTCAAAGCCTGAAGCTCTATTCAGAGAAGATTTCAAATGATCAGTGAACAGTGGAAATTTCTGTCTTTTTTTTTTCCTCATCTTTGCAATGTCAGCAGTTAGGATTTTCGCAGTTAAAAAAAAAGAGCACCCAAGGAACAAAAAGACTGTTTTTTTTTTTTTTTTTTTTTTCCAGACCCCTCTCCCTCATTTTTTTTTCCTTAAGAGTCAGATCTAAGGGGAGGGAATGCCTCCATTAAGGACATCACTACCTGTTGGCACAGCAGGAGTTCACTGGGTACAGAACTTTACCAAACCTGATCTTAAAATGTTTTCCTTCCATTATTTACTTATTTAAAAGCCCACTTTTTAGAGGTGCTGAGCTCCCACACTTTCACATTGAAGTTTCTGAGACAAAATGCATGCTCTTAGCTTCTCAAGAGAGAAGGGCAGTGTTCAGTCATTGACCAAAATGCCAGGGTGGCCAAAACACCTGCCAAGAGATGTGAAGCCAGGAACATCAGTGCTAGGAGAAAAATGCAATTAGCCATGAATATCCCAGTTTCATAGGTTGAGCACCTTTCCTCATGTAAACCAGGCTGTGGTAAAACGCAGGAGTTACTTGGTCTTAGACATTTACAGGTTCTCCAGTCCATTTTGTAACTAACTGCTGCCAGCACAAGGCTTTTCAGGATCTTCAGCAAAGAGCACAACCTTTTGTAACAATCAGCACTTCTGTATTTTCCTAGCTTTTGATCTGAGGCACAATGAAAGAAGAAAAGTAAAAGCTTTTTGTATCCACCCTGTGCTTTCCAGGTGTCTGCTCACAGTCAGGCACATCTCATCCCAAATGATTTAGGTTTAATTTTGTGATCAATACAGAAAATATTTAATATGTTAGTGTTATCATTAAGAACTTGAAATTGGGATCTCTTAACTTCAAGTTTATCATTCAGATAGTCCCCCACAGAAAAGCAACACTTTATGTTGAATTTTCAATAAAATAAAAAGGCAAACATTGGGGAAGAACTGTGAGAGGTATGAGGACAGCAATCAGGCCAGCCATCGCTTGTGTGCTGAAGTACTGCACTGGCTCACACGCACAGAGGTAAAACCAACTGCTTAGTTTCTTCACAGCTACATCAGGCAATTGATTCAGCAGGCTTCTGAAGCTACTATGCCACAAAATCCATTACCCTGAGTTTTAAAACACATGCCAGCAGATTCTTTTGCACCACCGAGGAAAAGATTAAAATGCAGTCACATAATACATTACTTGGTTGAATAGCAGGAGTCTTAAAAATGCTTAACATTCAGAATGAGTGGCTTTCATTAAAATTAATTTCACTGGCAGGTGGCCTATATGTTACTCTGACAGGAACAACCACCCTCTTTGAGTAGCGTGACTGACAACCCAACTTTGCCAAGGAGAGGTGGAGGACAGATTCCAAAAATCATTTCCAGGCTTCTAACAATGAACTGGAGATCAAAGCAAAAAAGAAAAACATTTTTGATGAAGGTTATGAAGGTTATGATCAGAGTCTCATAATGACAAACAGCCTTTTCAACAAAATGACTAGTGTCCTCAACAGATGGCCACTTAGTATTTCCTTCTGATTGTAGCTTTTTTAATGATTTGTGTATGTGTACGTGTGTACATGCATATAAATAATTACATATAACTTCCTAAAGAATACCCCAACACAAATGAAAATAAGAGGTGATTTTTTTTTTTTTTTTCTCTTAGCTTTTAAACCCACACAAACACAACTGGAATTAGATCTGTATGTTTCAGTACATCTGGCTTGTAACATCTCATAGGATAGCATCATGCTGTCCTGTCACAGTTGTGTCACTGAACCCTCTCTGCACGATCATGTGTGGCTGAAGGCTGAGTCCAACCAAACTGGATCTCCATTACAGAGAAGTTAATATTTAACTCCACCTTTTTGCCTTCTTCTGTAGGTGGTGATGAGCATGCAAAGAGATCAGTTATCAGGCATCAAACAAGTGAACCAGCACCCTTACTTCCACGTTCCTCCCTCAGCATTTGTACACCTCCTGACATGGGATCCTCATCTGTGACAAAGGTTTACGGGCATTATGATAGTTCAGCAGTTGTGCAAAATAAAAACTGTTGTTATGAACAGCAGCATATCAAGCATTATTACCACCTTCTTAATCAAAAAAAGAATACAAAGCCAAACCTAGAATTGGTGTGAAGAAACATTGCACAACTCACCAGGAAAAGTATCAGAGACTTGGGCACACTGAATTTATAATTTTCCCAATTTTCCTCTAGTAAGGCTGCATATTTACTGCTGCAGCTTCAACCTAAAACTTTGTCTGAATATTCCTAATGACTATTGGCAGAATGATCACATCTTACTACTGTACAGTCCAGATCCAACTCACTGGGAGGACTGAAATTCAATGGCATTTGGGACTTGCTGCCAGCTTATACAAGATCAAACAGGACAACTGAACTCACCAGCAACAGTCTTCACATAAAGGTGGGCAAACTAAGGACCAAGAAAGATGAAGACAGTTGAAAACCACAACACTGAAGGTTCCTTGGTCTCCTGCTTTTCAAGCATCCAGTTTGAACATCAGCATTATGTATCTACACAGGGAAATCAATAATTGGAGCTTTTGTTTAAACATACCAGATATCTTTCCTCCTGCCTCATACTTGGGGTACGGATCATGTGATTCTGTTCTCCTCTCCAGTCTCCAAAACGTCGAAAAAAATAATTGGATAAAAATCGATTGACAGGATCTCTAATAATATTGATGTACACTGGCTGGTCTCCTCCAAACCTGGTGGGAAGAAAAATGGGTGAATCTTACCAGAAGGTTTCAGATAGGCAAATGTATCTCTTTCCCCTGAATGTTTTCAAACTATTCTCTACAGAGTTCACAGCATTTACAAGTCTAGAAGTAAAGCTGAGATGCTTATGACTAGTTACAAAACTGTAAATGCATACGAGATTTATGTAGGTGTAATGGCAAGTATCACATTAAGCTGTATGTGGACTACGAACATTTTAGTTTAAGACTATTTTTTTCCACTGTGTCAATGGTTATGCTTCTCAGCTTTCTCCTCACAATTTTCAGATGAAGAACCTTTTGCAGATGAATCCAAGGATGAACATTTCTTTTTTCTAAACACTTGCTTCCCGTCTGGAAAGTCATGTCAGTGCAGGCAGTGCCTGACACTAACTGCCATAGGGCAGCTTTGCATCACCTTCACCTGTACAAGAGTGGGAATGTGCTAAGGATTTTGCAACATTCAAGCATATATCAAAAGGCTTCTTTCGGATGAACTGACAGATATGTATGGTATTTCCATCTATTTATTTGCTGTAACTTGCGCAGATATTCCTCCCCTCACCCCCAAACCTGCCCCATCTGCTGGATTTGAGGTTATTTAGTGGCTATCTAGCGCCTTACACTCGTACTGCATTTCATGGAAAAAAAAAAAAGTCAATATGAAAAATCCTGCTTCAAAAAACAAATTAAGTATTAATTTCAAGTACACACAAGTCTGAAGAAAAAGAAGGTGTAAAACCATCTGTGACCAGGGTCTGTTAAAAAAGCAAAAGACAGCATAGGTACCTGCATCTTAGAGGACCTGTCTCCTCCTGATACTTAAGACAAACATGTTCAGTTTCATATACGGGATACGAAAGGAGAAAGGGAGGAAAAGAGAGTTTGAGAAGATACGGCACGTGATTTTACTGTATTTTCAGAGTGTTATAATATTGACTGCTTATTTTACATCAACACATATCACTAGCAGGACAGGGAAAATTGTCAACCCAGTGGAAAGAGAGAGGAAAGCTGCTTACATTCTTCCTTGGTCAAAACAGAAGGATGAAAATTTATGCCCTGGAACTGACTTACAGACTGCAAACGATGTGAGACAGAGCAAAGTAAAACTTATTTGGATGGTGCTGTTCCTAGGATAAATCCAACTTGAAATTTTCCTGATCTCAAAGCATGCATTATGTTTCTCCACTCTGTTTCCCCGCTTTAAGAGAACAATCTTTAGTTAAGCACTAGCTCATGTTTTATTTTTGGGAGCTGAAGGATATAGCCATATTTAAGTATTTAAATGCTGTTTATATGACTGTCTAAGCCACAGGTTGTATTTCTTTCTTATAAAATGAAAATTTCTTTCTTATTAGATTAGAAGACAGAAAACAGAAGACACCACTTAGATTAAAAAAAAACAAACAAACAACACAACTCTCAGGTTTTCTTCATTTTTGAGTCAGATAAATAACTGAAGGTATATAATAAAAGATCAGGGCTCCTCATAAATATTAAAGACACAGCAAAATTGTTTAAAAATATGACATATAGTAAGAGACAAGAAAAATCCCACACTCTCAAATTAATTTTTATTCTGCGTGATTCCCCAGACCCGTAAACACAGCCTGCAAAGGTTTGTGTATATTTATAACTTATTATTTATGCATATCTACTTATGTATACCAGTAATTAGATAATAATTTATTTATTTGTGCATATCAGGAATCTGATTGACCTTAATGTTGCAGGATCACCCCCGTAATTTGTAGATGCACAGACAGCAGAAAGCTTTGAAACAATCCAATTAAGAAGGCAGATGCTCCTTGCTTCCTGATTAGCACATAGCCCAATTTGGACATATGTCTGTAATGGAAACATCCTGAATTCTTCTCTGAGATTGTTTTTGCTGCTGTCTTTGCCTTTATACAGAAATAAAGCTTACATAAAAACCAGACATTCCTGCAATTATCACAGAAAATTAAAGGCATAAACCTTTGACAATATCTTTATATAGAAAAAGGTTGGTGAATGCCATGGCTGGTAGCCACAAAAACTACTTGTTCAAGTAAAACTGCAGGCAAGATTAAGTTGCACCTAGATTACCAAACATATTATTTTCCTGCTGCTTGCTGCAGATTAACAGTAATCTAAAGACAGTAAGAACAGATGAGAGCAGCAGCAAGTTGTCTTAAGACATAGAGAAAGATGGCAAGAGTCAGAGAAGCGAAAGAGTAGCGGTATCCAGCCTGGGGTTTGTAGAAGATGCTAAGCCTAAACTAAACGCTCCTCAGCAGAGGAAAACAAGCAAAACCAGACAGTTATTATTTGTCTAGATACAATATTCAACAAATAATCATTGTCTTTTCTGAAGTAAAAGGAGTGGTCGGATTGCATAACCAACCACCCAAAGCATTAAAGCCTCTTCTTTTTCTGGTAAGGTCGTGTCCCTGAACACGTGAACTATAAACTCAGTACCAACAGCTCTGAGAGAAGAGGCTCATCTGTCCCTAGAGGACAGCTGGGATGGGAAGTCAGTCTCTCACAAGGTACTGCAGAGGAACTTCTCATTTTGGAAATGGAGACTGTGGCCTCCCAAAACACCACACAGCTCAAATTTCTGACTTCCTGCACACTTTGACCGGCCTGGTATACACCCAGCTGCAGTTGCTCCATCAGGCAGCAAGCAGGGAATTTTTAGAAAACTTAAATCTGTTCTGGCACTTATTCAAATCTGCATTTTTTAAGCATGGTTTATAATACTCCAAATTCCAACCATTTGTTTTTACGGACTGTACTGGGACTCTGAGGGAAGCTAAGCAGCAGTTGCAGGGCATAAAAAATCCTGATGGTTAAAAATCAATAACCTTAGGCTATTTAGATAAAAAAAGGAAAATCAATGCTCCATTTGTTCATGTATATTCTGCCCATTTTTAGATATCTATCAGTCATCATATTAAATATTACTTAGCTCTCCCAAATGCAACTTTTCAAATTAATAACACCCACTTGAAAATGCTCCTGCAAACAGTAACAACATACAGTGCTCTCATTATACATGTACATCATATCATCTTATGTATACCCACATATCTGTTGTGAAGGATTCAGAAAAAAAAAAAAAAAGCAATTTTGCTCTTCCAGGCCTGAGCAGAAGGCTTATCTTCTATAAGAGGAATCACATTTGGATCCTGCCTGGTAAATATACTGGATCCTTCTCACGCCCCGCAGCTCATCGCCATAATTGGGTTGAGTGGGACAGGACACAGCCTTTCCAATGGAGAGCTGAAAATGTACACACTGATCCTCTGCTGCTCCTTCTGCACTTAGCTTCCGATTTATTTAGCATATACAATTACATCGAATTAATTTTAATTACTCTGTTGTGACAGATGTATTTTCAGATTCCTCATCAAAATAACTAGCATATTTGCAGGCTTCAATCAATGATACTTAGATTCATTTGTAGCATTTCCCATCCCTCTTTTTTTTTAAAGAAAAAAAAGGAAAACAAAAAAAGGCTGAGAAATATGCCAGATGTTGCAACTCTGTCATAGAAAAATGTCTCTGATGAATTCTGATTTTATTATTTACATGAGTAAAACCTTTGCCCAAAACAGTTAGCAAACCCCATTTGAGTCAGGAAGAAAAAAGCAGTAAAAGATTTCAAAAAATTCAATCAAAGCAATTTGTTTTGTTGTAAAATGGAGTGTATTTCAGCTCCTGTCATTCTTCATTTAAGCTCTTTTTTAAGGAAGGTTAAATATGAATGCAGTCCTGTCACTTCACTTCAGGAGGCTGCTGCAGCTCTGCTCAGCACAAAACTCTTTGCACAAGCAGAAGCAGGCTTCTTCATCCCTATAGGCAGAGCACATTCCTAGAGGAAATCAAGATTCCCAACCTTTTCTCTACAAGAACATCAGCTGCCTGCTACTCTTTTAATGTGAAGAATGTCCTCTTAAACAAATGAGTTGGTTGCTGTAAGTGAAATATAATGGAAACAAACAAGAACTGACAGTCAGATTAACATGGATAGGTATATTGCGTCCTTCTCAGAAAGCCACATTTCCTTTTGCAGCTTCATACAACCATGCTGAGAACACAATTGCCCAGGAAGCTTTACAGATTAATTGTGTGACAGCTCCAGTACCTGGTCTGCAGCACAGATTCAAGGAGAGATCAGGTAAAAACCCCAATGTACGACTTTCAGCTTTTCAGGACTTAAACAGATGCAGTCATATCCAATCCTGTCTTCTGGAAAAGGTATCTTACTCACAGAATTAGAAATGAAAAGTCACTGTAATCTCTCTTATTAACAAACACTTCTGGTGAAGCAAACCCATTCTGTACAGGAGGCATCAGGCAACTCTGGGTTACTCCACCGACCCTCCTCAAGGATGAGCTGCCACCTTTTTTTGCAACAAATCCCAGAGGAGTGGGCTGAGGTATTGTCTGCTTGGTGCTGCATTGTACTGCCAGACTCCCAACTCAAGGAGTTTATCTTCTTGCTTTTGTGCCTTTACCCTGTTCTGCGGCCATGCTTTCAAGCTTTTCTTTGAAATTAGGAGGAAAAAAATAAGTGTGCTGAGATAATTCTTTTAATTTCAAGACTGCATTCTTGGCTGGGCTGGCCTTGAATGGGAGGTGTGATCCAAAGTGCTCAGTGGTTCAAGGTTAACAGTAAAATGGTGCAAGCTGGCAACACTGCTCTCATAAACTACCCCTTCTGGAGCTGTGACATCAACAGCAGAAATTTCAGCTTCCGAGTGACACGTCTGGGTAATGTCATCATAAAAAAACAAAAACAAAAACACAAAGGAATTGCTTAGTAAACTGCCTCAGACCAGTGAACAACTGGCAGATTACACTGTAAGGCTTTCTATTTCACTATGTTGTAGATCTCCCAAAATATTTTATGCTGTATTTCTGCCAGCCTTTTATGTTCATGCATGGCAAACATACTGAAAATTATCTGTATCTATGCCTTTCCGTACACTAAGGATATC